GCTATCAAACAGGCACTTCTCGAGAAAAGTGGGTGGCCCTGAAAAGGGCCGTTTGTTTTTGGTGTGAAGCTCCAGAAAGGCCGTTTACTTGGCTGGCTTCTGGGTCTTCTTGGGGAGAAGGACGGCCTGGATGTTGGGGAGGACACCTCCCTGTGCAATGGTAACACCAGACAGAAGTTTGTTCAACTCCTCGTCGTTTCTGATGGCCAACTGAAGATGACGTGGGATGATCCTGGTCTTCTTGTTGTCTCTGGCAGCGTTTCCTGCCAATTCCAACACCTCAGCTGCCAAGTATTCGAGGACAGCGGCCAGGTAGACTGGGGCACCGGCACCAACTCTCTCGGCATAGTTTCCTTTACGGAGCAGACGATGGATACGTCCGACAGGGAACTGAAGCCCTGCACGGGATGATCGGCTCTTTGCCTTTCCCTTTACTTTTCCTCCCTTTCCACGTCCAGACATCTTGATACGATCGGCTAGTTACTGTCAACAGTGTTAAGCAGAATGAGAGGTCGGCCACATCATGAAGCGTTATATACCCCAAGGTAGGATCGAAATTGCAACGAGCGTAAAGTAGGGGGTGTTTTCAGTGAGCGTGTAAGGTTCGAGTGATTTGGGCATTACAAGACTCGATCCTACCTGAGAGGGCGATGGTATATAAGAGGGGTTTGTGGCGGGCTGTGTGTTATTCGTATCGGCACTCGTCGTACTAGCAACATGGGCCCTAAACAAGTAGGTTCGAAAGGAGCAAAGAAGGCCGCCACTAAGGCAAAGGCCAGTCGTGGAACTGACAAGAAAAGGAGGAGGAAGAGGAGGGAATCCTACAGCATCTACATCTACAAGGTGTTGAAACAGGTGCACCCCGACACCGGAGTGTCCAGCAAAGCCATGTCCATCATGAACAGCTTTGTCAACGACATCTTCGAGAGAATCGCCGCTGAGGCTTCCCGTCTGGCCCACTACAACAAGAGGTCCACCATCACTAGTCGGGAAATCCAGACTGCTGTCCGTCTCCTTCTCCCCGGTGAATTGGCTAAGCACGCCGTCAGCGAAGGCACCAAGGCTGTCACCAAGTACACCAGTTCCAAGTAAACTTGTAGCAAAGTTTACTACAACAAACCAACCAAACGGCCCTTTTCAGGGCCACCCACATTCCTCAAAAAGCCCTGTGATCTCTCGAAAATTATACGCTTTGTCTGCGTAAGACTTGACTTGCTTCAGTGTGTGTCGTCGTGTGATTTGTTTGTAATATGTAAAAGAGAACTGCTATAGTAAGGAAACGAATGAGAAATATAATCATCATGTAGCAATGAAATATATGAAAACATATCCGTCCAAATATCATGTGGAGTTGTTGGTAAGTTAGTGTTGATTGATTTACATTTAGATTAAAGTAAAGACGAAATAATACCACCTTGTAACATGGTTCCATGTGCATGTGTGTTTGATATCATAATACTTTGGTATAACCTTATTTCAAACCTACCAATGCATGTACTATAGCTCAATAACGGAATAGTGTATGGATTGATTATCTTTGTTTTCATGTATTAATTGCAACGATGTAAGATCAACCCATGTTCTGTGTATTTATGGAGAAGTGTGCATAAGTTTATAAGAATTAGGCCGTGTTTTATTTCAATGATAAAACACAGCCAAAATATGTACATATCAACTGAATCGAATTGAATCTGAATAGATATGATTATGGAATGGAAAGGAAAGAAAATAAAATGAAATTGATAGTTTGGTAAGTATTTGTTTTCTGTTGTATTTATTTGCTTATGGGGGACCGTTGTAAGTGTCATTTCATAACAATGCAAACGTACTACAGTGAAGAGAAGGAAAGTACGTTAGGTATTGTATTATTGACATTCTGTTTCGTTGAACGTTTCTCAGTATACTATTGTTCCTTTATGAATGATAATGAACAACAGGAATCAGCGGGTTTGCATGCAAATGAAACCTAGGTAAGTCTTACTTGTTCTGTAAATAGAAATGAGTGGCGTATGTATTCGAGGCGTTATACAAATACTTTTTGGGTATTTTGGTGGCCCTAAAAAGGGCCGTTTGAGTTGGTTGGCTGTTCTAGGTAGTCAGTGTTTAACCGCCGAATCCGTACAGGGTACGTCCTTGTCTCTTGAGAGCGTAGACGACATCCATGGCTGTGACAGTCTTCCTCTTGGCATGCTCGGTGTATGTGACGGCATCCCTGATAACATTCTCAAGGAAAACTTTGAGGACACCACGTGTCTCTTCGTAGATCAGACCAGAGATACGTTTGACACCACCTCGGCGAGCCAGACGACGGATTGCAGGCTTGGTGATACCCTGGATGTTATCACGCAACACCTTCCTGTGCCTCTGCACCTCCCTTTCCGAGTCCCTTTCCTCCTTTACCTCTTCCAGACATGTTTACAGACTGCTAGCAGTGACTGAAAATGAACCGGTAGCGCAGATCACCCATGCTATATACAAATCTGGAGGCCGTGTGAGAAGACCTCTCCGCTTTTATAAGCGCGGTTTTCATTGGTCGAAAATAACTACACTCTCCTTAGCCGTGTTGTACGGGATAAAGCAGTGTGTACTTAACAGTATTTGTGAATAAAGTGCATACATATATCATGTCCCAAAACATTGTTAATCAATAATCAAATGAGGATGAATTTAACGCTGTAAACCGATACTTACCGTCAACAAATAAAGCATCATAGTGTATATTATTAGGTCTTTTCACCACATGGTGAAAAGACCTATTGTTTTTGTTATGTTTCTTATTCTTATTCTTCTTATTATTATTGTTATTGTTGTTATCATTATTATATTGAATTAGCCAAGTAAATAATTGTGTATAATATCATGCATAACATGAATACATCCAAAATTCATTACGATCTCCAGTACCCAAAGCACGCGACCCACCCAATTTAATATATATTATATATACACATCCCCAAAAAAATAACACTCCGAGAAAAAAAAAATCACCCCCAAAAAATTTTCGCCTCGCTCCGCTCGGCGGGATATGCAAATCAAATCAAAACAACAACAAAACAAACCAAAACCACAACACCTACCCACCCCCTTTTTTTTTTTATTACTTTTTTTTGGGTTTTTTTTTTTTTTTTTTTTTAACCTAACCCTTTTTTTTTTAAACATTAAACACAACCACAAAAAAAAACAAAACAAAAAACTCAAAATAACCAAAACAAACAAAAACAACAAAACACACAATTACAAACATTAAATACATTCTAAAACAAGCAACACCAATTACAAAAACCAACAAACAACACCAAATTAACACTCAATAGCCAAACCTTGAAAAACATACCCTACCATTTCAAATAATCATCTCATTTTATTACCACAATCCTATCTATTCAAGCATTTATTTCATGCTTGCTAAAAACACCACCGTAATAATCATTTCATAATCATGTCTATTAACAATTCAAATTGCGTATTATCGAGCAATTAATGGCACTTTTTGTGAGATGTGGTGGCCCTGAAAAGGGCCGTTTTGGTATGTGGGCTACAAAGTGTACAGCTTAAGCACGTTCTCCTCGGATACGGCGGGCAAGCTGGATATCCTTGGGCATAATGGTGACACGTTTGGCGTGGATGGCGCACAAGTTGGTGTCCTCGAAAAGTCCAACCAAGTAAGCTTCGCTGGCTTCCTGCAGAGCCATAACAGCAGAGCTCTGGAACCTCAAGTCGGTCTTGAAATCTTGGGCGATTTCACGGACAAGACGCTGGAATGGCAGTTTCCTGATGAGGAGCTCGGTGCTCTTCTGGTACCTACGGATTTCTCGGAGAGCGACTGTTCCAGGCCTGTACCTGTGAGGTTTCTTCACTCCTCCGGTGGCTGGTGCACTCTTACGTGCAGCCTTTGTGGCCAGCTGTTTTCGTGGAGCCTTTCCTCCGGTGGATTTACGAGCGGTCTGCTTTGTACGAGCCATTTCGGTTGTTGTGTTCCTGTCGGAGTTCAACGATAGAATGAGAGAAATCTCCAGTCACCTATTTTTGTCCTCCCCGCTACGCTACAGACGATGGTCGCGATTGGGTAGTGTAATGTGTCAAGTCAATTTTGATTGGTTCGTTCAGACGGTCGTCGACTGGCCGTCAGGCATGTACATTCCGCCAAGTTTCAATCCTACCTAGGTTGTCTTGAAACCGTGTCAAGAAAACATGTCATTTCCTCGATCAATTGTAAAGAACTTGATTACAACTCATCATTGACAATATCTATAAAATGCATAGGGTGACAGTCTGTACATAATTACGCATTTAGTGTCGTAATTAACATTACAGTTCGACATTTCATTTCAGCAAACAAACACAACAAATATAACGGTAAACACACGTGTACAACAAGATATGAAGTTAAACGTGTGCAACGGTTATTTACATATGTACTCTCTCTCCACATTGCATTGACATGGCTCAAAATCTGAAATACTTCCAATTACTGTGCTTTGTTTCTTTTGTTTACTTGTTTTTTGTGTAACGTCTTACATAAACACGATAAGTGACCTCTCCGCTGTGTTTGTTATCTCTCATTCTTCCAACCCACTGTGTATACATCTATATATGTGTGGTAAAAATAATAACAATAATAATACTAATAACAATAAGTGTACTTCTGCTACTACTACAACAACAACTACTAGCACTTATGATGATGGTGATAATTATAATATTATTAATAATAATATTAACAACAACAAAGCTGTGATTAGGACAGTGTATATTTCATACGGTGCAGTGTGGAATGATTTAGACATGTACAATTATTAATTTTTTGTTATCAACAGTGTTATAGTGCACCTCGAAGTGTAAGGCGTGTCTGATTTCTTTTTTTTGATTTGATTTGATATGTGATTAGATTATAAAGCATGCGTAAGTTTTCGAGTGCTATCAAACAGGCACTTCTCGAGAAAAGTGGGTGGCCCTGAAAAGGGCCGTTTGTTTTTGGTGTGAAGCTCCAGAAAGGCCGTTTACTTGGCTGGCTTCTGGGTCTTCTTGGGGAGAAGGACGGCCTGGATGTTGGGGAGGACACCTCCCTGTGCAATGGTAACACCAGACAGAAGTTTGTTCAACTCCTCGTCGTTTCTGATGGCCAACTGAAGATGACGTGGGATGATCCTGGTCTTCTTGTTGTCTCTGGCAGCGTTTCCTGCCAATTCCAACACCTCAGCTGCCAAGTATTCGAGGACAGCGGCCAGGTAGACTGGGGCACCGGCACCAACTCTCTCGGCATAGTTTCCTTTACGGAGCAGACGGTGGATACGTCCGACAGGGAACTGAAGCCCTGCACGGGATGATCGGCTCTTTGCCTTTCCCTTTACTTTTCCTCCCTTCCCTTTCCACGTCCAGACATCTTGATACGATCGGCTAGTTACTGTCAACAGTGTTAAGCAGAATGAGAGGTCGGCCACATCATGAAGCGTTATATACCCCAAGGTAGGATCGAAATTGCAACGAGCGTAAAGTAGGGGGTGTTTTCAGTGAGCGTGTAAGGTTCGAGTGATTTGGGCATTACAAGACTCGATCCTACCTGAGAGGGCGATGGTATATAAGAGGGGTTTGTGGCGGGCTGTGTGTTATTCGTATCGGCACTCGTCGTACTAGCAACATGGGCCCTAAACAAGTAGGTTCGAAAGGAGCAAAGAAGGCCGCCACTAAGGCAAAGGCCAGTCGTGGAACTGACAAGAAAAGGAGGAGGAAGAGGAGGGAATCCTACAGCATCTACATCTACAAGGTGTTGAAACAGGTGCACCCCGACACCGGAGTGTCCAGCAAAGCCATGTCCATCATGAACAGCTTTGTCAACGACATCTTCGAGAGAATCGCCGCTGAGGCTTCCCGTCTGGCCCACTACAACAAGAGGTCCACCATCACTAGTCGGGAAATCCAGACTGCTGTCCGTCTCCTTCTCCCCGGTGAATTGGCTAAGCACGCCGTCAGCGAAGGCACCAAGGCTGTCACCAAGTACACCAGTTCCAAGTAAACTTGTAGCAAAGTTTACTACAACAAACCAACCAAACGGCCCTTTTCAGGGCCACCCACATTCCTCAAAAAGCCCTGTGATCTCTCGAAAATTATACGCTTTGTCTGCGTAAGACTTGACTTGCTTCAGTGTGTGTCGTCGTGTGATTTGTTTGTAATATGTAAAAGAGAACTGCTATAGTAAGGAAACGAATGAGAAATATAATCATCATGTAGCAATGAAATATATGAAAACATATCCGTCCAAATATCATGTGGAGTTGTTGGTAAGTTAGTGTTGATTGATTTACATTTAGATTAAAGTAAAGACGAAATAATACCACCTTGTAACATGGTTCCATGTGCATGTGTGTTTGATATCATAATACTTTGGTATAACCTTATTTCAAACCTACCAATGCATGTACTATAGCTCAATAACGGAATAGTGTATGGATTGATTATCTTTGTTTTCATGTATTAATTGCAACGATGTAAGATCAACCCATGTTCTGTGTATTTATGGAGAAGTGTGCATAAGTTTATAAGAATTAGGCCGTGTTTTATTTCAATGATAAAACACAGCCAAAATATGTACATATCAACTGAATCGAATTGAATCTGAATAGATATGATTATGGAATGGAAAGGAAAGAAAATAAAATGAAATTGATAGTTTGGTAAGTATTTGTTTTCTGTTGTATTTATTTGCTTATGGGGGACCGTTGTAAGTGTCATTTCATAACAATGCAAACGTACTACAGTGAAGAGAAGGAAAGTACGTTAGGTATTGTATTATTGACATTCTGTTTCGTTGAACGTTTCTCAGTATACTATTGTTCCTTTATGAATGATAATGAACAACAGGAATCAGCGGGTTTGCATGCAAATGAAACCTAGGTAAGTCTTACTTGTTCTGTAAATAGAAATGAGTGGCGTATGTATTCGAGGCGTTATACAAATACTTTTTGGGTATTTTGGTGGCCCTAAAAAGGGCCGTTTGAGTTGGTTGGCTGTTCTAGGTAGTCAGTGTTTAACCGCCGAATCCGTACAGGGTACGTCCTTGTCTCTTGAGAGCGTAGACGACATCCATGGCTGTGACAGTCTTCCTCTTGGCATGCTCGGTGTATGTGACGGCATCCCTGATAACATTCTCAAGGAAAACTTTGAGGACACCACGTGTCTCTTCGTAGATCAGACCAGAGATACGTTTGACACCACCTCGGCGAGCCAGACGACGGATTGCAGGCTTGGTGATACCCTGGATGTTATCACGCAACACCTTCCTGTGCCTCTTGGCACCTCCCTTTCCGAGTCCCTTTCCTCCTTTACCTCTTCCAGACATGTTTACAGACTGCTAGCAGTGACTGAAAATGAACCGGTAGCGCAGATCACCCATGCTATATACAAATCTGGAGGCCGTGTGAGAAGACCTCTCCGCTTTTATAAGCGCGGTTTTCATTGGTCGAAAATAACTACACTCTCCTTAGCCGTGTTGTACGGGATAAAGCAGTGTGTACTTAACAGTATTTGTGAATAAAGTGCATACATATATCATGTCCCAAAACATTGTTAATCAATAATCAAATGAGGATGAATTTAACGCTGTAAACCGATACTTACCGTCAACAAATAAAGCATCATAGTGTATATTATTAGGTCTTTTCACCACATGGTGAAAAGACCTATTGTTTTTGTTATGTTTCTTATTCTTATTCTTCTTATTATTATTGTTATTGTTGTTATCATTATTATATTGAATTAGCCAAGTAAATAATTGTGTATAATATCATGCATAACATGAATACATCCAAAATTCATTACGATCTCCAGTACCCAAAGCACGCGACCCACCCAATTTAATATATATTATATATACACATCCCCAAAAAAATAACACTCCGAGAAAAAAAAAATCACCCCCAAAAAATTTTCGCCTCGCTCCGCTCGGCGGGATATGCAAATCAAATCAAAACAACAACAAAACAAACCAAAACCACAACACCTACCCACCCCCTTTTTTTTTTTATTACTTTTTTTTGGGTTTTTTTTTTTTTTTTTAAACCTAACCCTTTTTTTTTTAAACATTAAACACAACCACAAAAAAAAACAAAACAAAAAACTCAAAATAACCAAAACAAACAAAAACAACAAAACACACAATTACAAACATTAAATACATTCTAAAACAAGCAACACCAATTACAAAAACCAACAAACAACACCAAATTAACACTCAATAGCCAAACCTTGAAAAACATACCCTACCATTTCAAATAATCATCTCATTTTATTACCACAATCCTATCTATTCAAGCATTTATTTCATGCTTGCTAAAAACACCACCGTAATAATCATTTCATAATCATGTCTATTAACAATTCAAATTGCGTATTATCGAGCAATTAATGGCACTTTTTGTGAGATGTGGTGGCCCTGAAAAGGGCCGTTTTGGTATGTGGGCTACAAAGTGTACAGCTTAAGCACGTTCTCCTCGGATACGGCGGGCAAGCTGGATATCCTTGGGCATAATGGTGACACGTTTGGCGTGGATGGCGCACAAGTTGGTGTCCTCGAAAAGTCCAACCAAGTAAGCTTCGCTGGCTTCCTGCAGAGCCATAACAGCAGAGCTCTGGAACCTCAAGTCGGTCTTGAAATCTTGGGCGATTTCACGGACAAGACGCTGGAATGGCAGTTTCCTGATGAGGAGCTCGGTGCTCTTCTGGTACCTACGGATTTCTCGGAGAGCGACTGTTCCAGGCCTGTACCTGTGAGGTTTCTTCACTCCTCCGGTGGCTGGTGCACTCTTACGTGCAGCCTTTGTGGCCAGCTGTTTTCGTGGAGCCTTTCCTCCGGTGGATTTACGAGCGGTCTGCTTTGTACGAGCCATTTCGGTTGTTGTGTTCCTGTCGGAGTTCAACGATAGAATGAGAGAAATCTCCAGTCACCTATTTTTGTCCTCCCCGCTACGCTACAGACGATGGTCGCGATTGGGTAGTGTAATGTGTCAAGTCAATTTTGATTGGTTCGTTCAGACGGTCGTCGACTGGCCGTCAGGCATGTACATTCCGCCAAGTTTCAATCCTACCTAGGTTGTCTTGAAACCGTGTCAAGAAAACATGTCATTTCCTCGATCAATTGTAAAGAACTTGATTACAACTCATCATTGACAATATCTATAAAATGCATAGGGTGACAGTCTGTACATAATTACGCATTTAGTGTCGTAATTAACATTACAGTTCGACATTTCATTTCAGCAAACAAACACAACAAATATAACGGTAAACACACACGTGTACAACAAGATATGAAGTTAAACGTGTGCAACGGTTATTTACATATGTACTCTCTCTCCACATTGCATTGACATGGCTCAAAATCTGAAATACTTCCAATTACTGTGCTTTGTTTCTTTTGTTTACTTGTTTTTTGTGTAACGTCTTACATAAACACGATAAGTGACCTCTCCGCTGTGTTTGTTATCTCTCATTCTTCCAACCCACTGTGTATACATCTATATATGTGTGGTAAAAATAATAACAATAATAATACTAATAACAATAAGTGTACTTCTGCTACTACTACAACAACAACTACTAGCACTTATGATGATGGTGATAATTATAATATTATTAATAATAATATTAACAACAACAAAGCTGTGATTAGGACAGTGTATATTTCATACGGTGCAGTGTGGAATGATTTAGACATGTACAATTATTAATTTTTTGTTATCAACAGTGTTATAGTGCACCTCGAAGTGTAAGGCGTGTCTGATTTCTTTTTTTTGATTTGATTTGATATGTGATTAGATTATAAAGCATGCGTAAGTTTTCGAGTGCTATCAAACAGGCACTTCTCGAGAAAAGTGGGTGGCCCTGAAAAGGGCCGTTTGTTTTTGGTGTGAAGCTCCAGAAAGGCCGTTTACTTGGCTGGCTTCTGGGTCTTCTTGGGGAGAAGGACGGCCTGGATGTTGGGGAGGACACCTCCCTGTGCAATGGTAACACCAGACAGAAGTTTGTTCAACTCCTCGTCGTTTCTGATGGCCAACTGAAGATGACGTGGGATGATCCTGGTCTTCTTGTTGTCTCTGGCAGCGTTTCCTGCCAATTCCAACACCTCAGCTGCCAAGTATTCGAGGACAGCGGCCAGGTAGACTGGGGCACCGGCACCAACTCTCTCGGCATAGTTTCCTTTACGGAGCAGACGGTGGATACGTCCGACAGGGAACTGAAGCCCTGCACGGGATGATCGGCTCTTTGCCTTTCCCTTTACTTTTCCTCCCTTTCCACGTCCAGACATCTTGATACGATCGGCTAGTTACTGTCAACAGTGTTAAGCAGAATGAGAGGTCGGCCACATCATGAAGCGTTATATACCCCAAGGTAGGATCGAAATTGCAACGAGCGTAAAGTAGGGGGTGTTTTCAGTGAGCGTGTAAGGTTCGAGTGATTTGGGCATTACAAGACTCGATCCTACCTGAGAGGGCGATGGTATATAAGAGGGGTTTGTGGCGGGCTGTGTGTTATTCGTATCGGCACTCGTCGTACTAGCAACATGGGCCCTAAACAAGTAGGTTCGAAAGGAGCAAAGAAGGCCGCCACTAAGGCAAAGGCCAGTCGTGGAACTGACAAGAAAAGGAGGAGGAAGAGGAGGGAATCCTACAGCATCTACATCTACAAGGTGTTGAAACAGGTGCACCCCGACACCGGAGTGTCCAGCAAAGCCATGTCCATCATGAACAGCTTTGTCAACGACATCTTCGAGAGAATCGCCGCTGAGGCTTCCCGTCTGGCCCACTACAACAAGAGGTCCACCATCACTAGTCGGGAAATCCAGACTGCTGTCCGTCTCCTTCTCCCCGGTGAATTGGCTAAGCACGCCGTCAGCGAAGGCACCAAGGCTGTCACCAAGTACACCAGTTCCAAGTAAACTTGTAGCAAAGTTTACTACAACAAACCAACCAAACGGCCCTTTTCAGGGCCACCCACATTCCTCAAAAAGCCCTGTGATCTCTCGAAAATTATACGCTTTGTCTGCGTAAGACTTGACTTGCTTCAGTGTGTGTCGTCGTGTGATTTGTTTGTAATATGTAAAAGAGAACTGCTATAGTAAGGAAACGAATGAGAAATATAATCATCATGTAGCAATGAAATATATGAAAACATATCCGTCCAAATATCATGTGGAGTTGTTGGTAAGTTAGTGTTGATTGATTTACATTTAGATTAAAGTAAAGACGAAATAATACCACCTTGTAACATGGTTCCATGTGCATGTGTGTTTGATATCATAATACTTTGGTATAACCTTATTTCAAACCTACCAATGCATGTACTATAGCTCAATAACGGAATAGTGTATGGATTGATTATCTTTGTTTTCATGTATTAATTGCAACGATGTAAGATCAACCCATGTTCTGTGTATTTATGGAGAAGTGTGCATAAGTTTATAAGAATTAGGCCGTGTTTTATTTCAATGATAAAACACAGCCAAAATATGTACATATCAACTGAATCGAATTGAATCTGAATAGATATGATTATGGAATGGAAAGGAAAGAAAATAAAATGAAATTGATAGTTTGGTAAGTATTTGTTTTCTGTTGTATTTATTTGCTTATGGGGGACCGTTGTAAGTGTCATTTCATAACAATGCAAACGTACTACAGTGAAGAGAAGGAAAGTACGTTAGGTATTGTATTATTGACATTCTGTTTCGTTGAACGTTTCTCAGTATACTATTGTTCCTTTATGAATGATAATGAACAACAGGAATCAGCGGGTTTGCATGCAAATGAAACCTAGGTAAGTCTTACTTGTTCTGTAAATAGAAATGAGTGGCGTATGTATTCGAGGCGTTATACAAATACTTTTTGGGTATTTTGGTGGCCCTAAAAAGGGCCGTTTGAGTTGGTTGGCTGTTCTAGGTAGTCAGTGTTTAACCGCCGAATCCGTACAGGGTACGTCCTTGTCTCTTGAGAGCGTAGACGACATCCATGGCTGTGACAGTCTTCCTCTTGGCATGCTCGGTGTATGTGACGGCATCCCTGATAACATTCTCAAGGAAAACTTTGAGGACACCACGTGTCTCTTCGTAGATCAGACCAGAGATACGTTTGACACCACCTCGGCGAGCCAGACGACGGATTGCAGGCTTGGTGATACCCTGGATGTTATCACGCAACACCTTCCTGTGCCTCTTGGCACCTCCCTTTCCGAGTCCCTTTCCTCCTTTACCTCTTCCAGACATGTTTACAGACTGCTAGCAGTGACTGAAAATGAACCGGTAGCGCAGATCACCCATGCTATATACAAATCTGGAGGCCGTGTGAGAAGACCTCTCCGCTTTTATAAGCGCGGTTTTCATTGGTCGAAAATAACTACACTCTCCTTAGCCGTGTTGTACGGGATAAAGCAGTGTGTACTTAACAGTATTTGTGAATAAAGTGCATACATATATCATGTCCCAAAACATTGTTAATCAATAATCAAATGAGGATGAATTTAACGCTGTAAACCGATACTTACCGTCAACAAATAAAGCATCATAGTGTATATTATTAGGTCTTTTCACCACATGGTGAAAAGACCTATTGTTTTTGTTATGTTTCTTATTCTTATTCTTCTTATTATTATTGTTATTGTTGTTATCATTATTATATTGAATTAGCCAAGTAAATAATTGTGTATAATATCATGCATAACATGAATACATCCAAAATTCATTACGATCTCCAGTACCCAAAGCACGCGACCCACCCAATTTAATATATATTATATATACACATCCCCAAAAAAATAACACTCCGAGAAAAAAAAAATCACCCCCAAAAAATTTTCGCCTCGCTCCGCTCGGCGGGATATGCAAATCAAATCAAAACAACAACAAAACAAACCAAAACCACAACACCTACCCACCCCCTTTTTTTTTTTATTACTTTTTTTTGGGTTTTTTTTTTTTTTTTTAAACCTAACCCTTTTTTTTTTAAACATTAAACACAACCACAAAAAAAAACAAAACAAAAAACTCAAAATAACCAAAACAAACAAAAACAACAAAACACACAATTACAAACATTAAATACATTCTAAAACAAGCAACACCAATTACAAAAACCAACAAACAACACCAAATTAACACTCAATAGCCAAACCTTGAAAAACATACCCTACCATTTCAAATAATCATCTCATTTTATTACCACAATCCTATCTATTCAAGCATTTATTTCATGCTTGCTAAAAACACCACCGTAATAATCATTTCATAATCATGTCTATTAACAATTCAAATTGCGTATTATCGAGCAATTAATGGCACTTTTTGTGAGATGTGGTGGCCCTGAAAAGGGCCGTTTTGGTATGTGGGCTACAAAGTGTACAGCTTAAGCACGTTCTCCTCGGATACGGCGGGCAAGCTGGATATCCTTGGGCATAATGGTGACACGTTTGGCGTGGATGGCGCACAAGTTGGTGTCCTCGAAAAGTCCAACCAAGTAAGCTTCGCTGGCTTCCTGCAGAGCCATAACAGCAGAGCTCTGGAACCTCAAGTCGGTCTTGAAATCTTGGGCGATTTCACGGACAAGACGCTGGAATGGCAGTTTCCTGATGAGGAGCTCGGTGCTCTTCTGGTACCTACGGATTTCTCGGAGAGCGACTGTTCCAGGCCTGTACCTGTGAGGTTTCTTCACTCCTCCGGTGGCTGGTGCACTCTTACGTGCAGCCTTTGTGGCCAGCTGTTTTCGTGGAGCCTTTCCTCCGGTGGATTTACGAGCGGTCTGCTTTGTACGAGCCATTTCGGTTGTTGTGTTCCTGTCGGAGTTCAACGATAGAATGAGAGAAATCTCCAGTCACCTATTTTTGTCCTCCCCGCTACGCTACAGACGATGGTCGCGATTGGGTAGTGTAATGTGTCAAGTCAATTTTGATTGGTTCGTTCAGACGGTCGTCGACTGGCCGTCAGGCATGTACATTCCGCCAAGTTTCAATCCTACCTAGGTTGTCTTGAAACCGTGTCAAGAAAACATGTCATTTCCTCGATCAATTGTAAAGAACTTGATTACAACTCATCATTGACAATATCTATAAAATGCATAGGGTGACAGTCTGTACATAATTACGCATTTAGTGTCGTAATTAACATTACAGTTCGACATTTCATTTCAGCAAACAAACACAACAAATATAACGGTAAACACACACGTGTACAACAAGATATGAAGTTAAACGTGTGCAACGGTTATTTACATATGTACTCTCTCTCCACATTGCATTGACATGGCTCAAAATCTGAAATACTTCCAATTACTGTGCTTTGTTTCTTTTGTTTACTTGTTTTTTGTGTAACGTCTTACATAAACACGATAAGTGACCTCTCCGCTGTGTTTGTTATCTCTCATTCTTCCAACCCACTGTGTATACATCTATATATGTGTGGTAAAAATAATAACAATAATAATACTAATAACAATAAGTGTACTTCTGCTACTACTACAACAACAACTACTAGCACTTATGATGATGGTGATAATTATAATATTATTAATAATAATATTAACAACAACAAAGCTGTGATTAGGACAGTGTATATTTCATACGGTGCAGTGTGGAATGATTTAGACATGTACAATTATTAATTTTTTGTTATCAACAGTGTTATAGTGCACCTCGAAGTGTAAGGCGTGTCTGATTTCTTTTTTTTGATTTGATTTGATATGTGATTAGATTATAAAGCATGCGTAAGTTTTCGAGTGCTATCAAACAGGCACTTCTCGAGAAAAGTGGGTGGCCCTGAAAAGGGCCGTTTGTTTTTGGTGTGAAGCTCCAGAAAGGCCGTTTACTTGGCTGGCTTCTGGGTCTTCTTGGGGAGAAGGACGGCCTGGATGTTGGGGAGGACACCTCCCTGTGCAATGGTAACACCAGACAGAAGTTTGTTCAACTCCTCGTCGTTTCTGATGGCCAACTGAAGATGACGTGGGATGATCCTGGTCTTCTTGTTGTCTCTGGCAGCGTTTCCTGCCAATTCCAACACCTCAGCTGCCAAGTATTCGAGGACAGCGGCCAGGTAGACTGGGGCACCGGCACCAACTCTCTCGGCATAGTTTCCTTTACGGAGCAGACGGTGGATACGTCCGACAGGGAACTGAAGCCCTGCACGGGATGATCGGCTCTTTGCCTTTCCCTTTACTTTTCCTCCCTTTCCACGTCCAGACATCTTGATACGATCGGCTAGTTACTGTCAACAGTGTTAAGCAGAATGAGAGGTCGGCCACATCATGAAGCGTTATATACCCCAAGGTAGGATCGAAATTGCAACGAGCGTAAAGTAGGGGGTGTTTTCAGTGAGCGTGTAAGGTTCGAGTGATTTGGGCATTACAAGACTCGATCCTACCTGAGAGGGCGATGGTATATAAGAGGGGTTTGTGGCGGGCTGTGTGTTATTCGTATCGGCACTCGTCGTACTAGCAACATGGGCCCTAAACAAGTAGGTTCGAAAGGAGCAAAGAAGGCCGCCACTAAGGCAAAGGCCAGTCGTGGAACTGACAAGAAAAGGAGGAGGAAGAGGAGGGAATCCTACAGCATCTACATCTACAAGGTGTTGAAACAGGTGCACCCCGACACCGGAGTGTCCAGCAAAGCCATGTCCATCATGAACAGCTTTGTCAACGACATCTTCGAGAGAATCGCCGCTGAGGCTTCCCGTCTGGCCCACTACAACAAGAGGTCCACCATCACTAGTCGGGAAATCCAGACTGCTGTCCGTCTCCTTCTCCCCGGTGAATTGGCTAAGCACGCCGTCAGCGAAGGCACCAAGGCTGTCACCAAGTACACCAGTTCCAAGTAAACTTGTAGCAAAGTTTACTACAACAAACCAACCAAACGGCCCTTTTCAGGGCCACCCACATTCCTCAAAAAGCCCTGTGATCTCTCGAAAATTATACGCTTTGTCTGCGTAAGACTTGACTTGCTTCAGTGTGTGTCGTCGTGTGATTTGTTTGTAATATGTAAAAGAGAACTGCTATAGTAAGGAAACGAATGAGAAATATAATCATCATGTAGCAATGAAATATATGAAAACATATCCGTCCAAATATCATGTGGAGTTGTTGGTAAGTTAGTGTTGATTGATTTACATTTAGATTAAAGTAAAGACGAAATAATACCACCTTGTAACATGGTTCCATGTGCATGTGTGTTTGATATCATAATACTTTGGTATAACCTTATTTCAAACCTACCAATGCATGTACTATAGCTCAATAACGGAATAGTGTATGGATTGATTATCTTTGTTTTCATGTATTAATTGCAACGATGTAAGATCAACCCATGTTCTGTGTATTTATGGAGAAGTGTGCATAAGTTTATAAGAATTAGGCCGTGTTTTATTTCAATGATAAAACACAGCCAAAATATGTACATATCAACTGAATCGAATTGAATCTGAATAGATATGATTATGGAATGGAAAGGAAAGAAAATAAAATGAAATTGATAGTTTGGTAAGTATTTGTTTTCTGTTGTATTTATTTGCTTATGGGGGACCGTTGTAAGTGTCATTTCATAACAATGCAAACGTACTACAGTGAAGAGAAGGAAAGTACGTTAGGTATTGTATTATTGACATTCTGTTTCGTTGAACGTTTCTCAGTATACTATTGTTCCTTTATGAATGATAATGAACAACAGGAATCAGCGGGTTTGCATGCAAATGAAACCTAGGTAAGTCTTACTTGTTCTGTAAATAGAAATGAGTGGCGTATGTATTCGAGGCGTTATACAAATACTTTTTGGGTATTTTGGTGGCCCTAAAAAGGGCCGTTTGAGTTGGTTGGCTGTTCTAGGTAGTCAGTGTTTAACCGCCGAATCCGTACAGGGTACGTCCTTGTCTCTTGAGAGCGTAGACGACATCCATGGCTGTGACAGTCTTCCTCTTGGCATGCTCGGTGTATGTGACGGCATCCCTGATAACATTCTCAAGGAAAACTTTGAGGACACCACGTGTCTCTTCGTAGATCAGACCAGAGATACGTTTGACACCACCTCGGCGAGCCAGACGACGGATTGCAGGCTTGGTGATACCCTGGATGTTATCACGCAACACCTTCCTGTGCCTCTTGGCACCTCCCTTTCCGAGTCCCTTTCCTCCTTTACCTCTTCCAGACATGTTTACAGACTGCTAGCAGTGACTGAAAATGAACCGGTAGCGCAGATCACCCATGCTATATACAAATCTGGAGGCCGTGTGAGAAGACCTCTCCGCTTTTATAAGCGCGGTTTTCATTGGTCGAAAATAACTACACTCTCCTTAGCCGTGTTGTACGGGATAAAGCAGTGTGTACTTAACAGTATTTGTGAATAAAGTGCATACATATATCATGTCCCAAAACATTGTTAATCAATAATCAAATGAGGATGAATTTAACGCTGTAAACCGATACTTACCGTCAACAAATAAAGCATCATAGTGTATATTATTAGGTCTTTTCACCACATGGTGAAAAGACCTATTGTTTTTGTTATGTTTCTTATTCTTATTCTTCTTATTATTATTGTTATTGTTGTTATCATTATTATATTGAATTAGCCAAGTAAATAATTGTGTATAATATCATGCATAACATGAATACATCCAAAATTCATTACGATCTCCAGTACCCAAAGCACGCGACCCACCCAATTTAATATATATTATATATACACATCCCCAAAAAAATAACACTCCGAGAAAAAAAAAATCACCCCCAAAAAATTTTCGCCTCGCTCCGCTCGGCGGGATATGCAAATCAAATCTTTTTTTTGGGTTTTTTTTTTTTTTTTTTTAAACCTAACCCTTTTTTTTTTAAACATTAAACACAACCACAAAAAAAAACAAAACAAAAAACTCAAAATAACCAAAACAAACAAAAACAACAAAACACACAATTACAAACATTAAATACATTCTAAAACAAGCAACACCAATTACAAAAACCAACAAACAACACCAAATTAACACTCAATAGCCAAACCTTGAAAAACATACCCTACCATTTCAAATAATCATCTCATTTTATTACCACAATCCTATCTATTCAAGCATTTATTTCATGCTTGCTAAAAACACCACCGTAATAATCATTTCATAATCATGTCTATTAACAATTCAAATTGCGTATTATCGAGCAATTAATGGCACTTTTTGTGAGATGTGGTGGCCCTGAAAAGGGCCGTTTTGGTATGTGGGCTACAAAGTGTACAGCTTAAGCACGTTCTCCTCGGATACGGCGGGCAAGCTGGATATCCTTGGGCATAATGGTGACACGTTTGGCGTGGATGGCGCACAAGTTGGTGTCCTCGAAAAGTCCAACCAAGTAAGCTTCGCTGGCTTCCTGCAGAGCCATAACAGCAGAGCTCTGGAACCTCAAGTCGGTCTTGAAATCTTGGGCGATTTCACGGACAAGACGCTGGAATGGCAGTTTCCTGATGAGGAGCTCGGTGCTCTTCTGGTACCTACGGATTTCTCGGAGAGCGACTGTTCCAGGCCTGTACCTGTGAGGTTTCTTCACTCCTCCGGTGGCTGGTGCACTCTTACGTGCAGCCTTTGTGGCCAGCTGTTTTCGTGGAGCCTTTCCTCCGGTGGATTTACGAGCGGTCTGCTTTGTACGAGCCATTTCGGTTGTTGTGTTCCTGTCGGAGTTCAACGATAGAATGAGAGAAATCTCCAGTCACCTATTTTTGTCCTCCCCGCTACGCTACAGACGATGGTCGCGATTGGGTAGTGTAATGTGTCAAGTCAATTTTGATTGGTTCGTTCAGACGGTCGTCGACTGGCCGTCAGGCATGTACATTCCGCCAAGTTTCAATCCTACCTAGGTTGTCTTGAAACCGTGTCAAGAAAACATGTCATTTCCTCGATCAATTGTAAAGAACTTGATTACAACTCATCATTGACAATATCTATAAAATGCATAGGGTGACAGTCTGTACATAATTACGCATTTAGTGTCGTAATTAACATTACAGTTCGACATTTCATTTCAGCAAACAAACACAACAAATATAACGGTAAACACACACGTGTACAACAAGATATGAAGTTAAACGTGTGCAACGGTTATTTACATATGTACTCTCTCTCCACATTGCATTGACATGGCTCAAAATCTGAAATACTTCCAATTACTGTGCTTTGTTTCTTTTGTTTACTTGTTTTTTGTGTAACGTCTTACATAAACACGATAAGTGACCTCTCCGCTGTGTTTGTTATCTCTCATTCTTCCAACCCACTGTGTATACATCTATATGTGTGTGGTAAAAATAATAACAATAATAATACTAATAACAATAAGTGTACTTCTGCTACTACTACAACAACAACTACTAGCACTTATGATGATGGTGATAATTATAATATTATTAATAATAATATTAACAACAACAAAGCTGTGATTAGGACAGTGTATATTTCATACGGTGCAGTGTGGAATGATTTAGACATGTACAATTATTAATTTTTTGTTATCAACAGTGTTATAGTGCACCTCGAAGTGTAAGGCGTGTCTGATTTCTTTTTTTTGATTTGATTTGATATGTGATTAGATTATAAAGCATGCGTAAGTTTTCGAGTGCTATCAAACAGGCACTTCTCGAGAAAAGTGGGTGGCCCTGAAAAGGGCCGTTTGTTTTTGGTGTGAAGCTCCAGAAAGGCCGTTTACTTGGCTGGCTTCTGGGTCTTCTTGGGGAGAAGGACGGCCTGGATGTTGGGGAGGACACCTCCCTGTGCAATGGTAACACCAGACAGAAGTTTGTTCACTCCTCGTCGTTTCTGATGGCCAACTGAAGATGACGTGGGATGATCCTGGTCTTCTTGTTGTCTCTGGCAGCGTTTCCTGCCAATTCCAACACCTCAGCTGCCAAGTATTCGAGGACAGCGGCCAGGTAGACTGGGGCACCGGCACATTCTCTCGGCATAGTTTCCTTTACGGAGCAGACGGTGGATACGTCCGACAGGGAATTGAAGCCCTGCACGGGATCAATCGGCTCTTTGCCTTTCCCTTACTGACTTTTCCTCCCTTTCCACGTCCAGTGACATCTTAGATCTGCTATCTCGTTACCTAAAATGTCGACATGAGATAGTCCACTGTCAATTTTAGTGTTAAGCAGAATGAGAGGTCGATCATATAATGCCACATCATGAAGCGTTATATACCCCAAGGTTGTAGGATCGAAATTGCAACGAGCGTAAAGTTGGTGGGTGTTTTCAGTGAGCGTGTAAGGTTATTTGATTTGCCATTACAGTTCAGCTGTGTAGATCCTACCTGAGAGGGCGGTATCGTTATATATACCTATCCCTACTCTATCATTGGTTGGATTTTTAGAGCCATCGGTATAAAATTTAACGAAGTTGAAATATTTCTTATCTATCAACTCTAATGCTAGGTGTTTTGCGCCTATCGGGTCGTGGTGTTTATCTAACGTCTTATGCAGTAATAGCGATACGTTTGGTGATGTTTTTAACCACGGGACTTGGAAATCTTGTTTGCGGGAGATCTTGACACCTTCTAAACCATATTTCTGTTTTAATCTAAGTATTTCTGAAGGATAGGGAGCCCTGATGTTGGTAACAGGTATTTCACTATTTTGTATTGCTTTGTTTAGTAAGAACCTATCCCCATGATTTTGGGTTCTAGCCCAGTATTTTAGAGTAAGGTTTTCTCGCCTAAGTGTTAATGTTGTTTCGCCGGCCTCTGCTAGTAAACTATTGCTGTTGGTGTTTTTGATGGCCCTTAGCGCTACCCTTAAGGCTGTGTGTTGTATTACATCTAGATGTTTTAATACTGTGTCACTAGCTATATTATATACCTGGCACCCGTAATCTAACCTTGATCTAACTAAGGCCTTATATAACATTAATTGAGTTGTTTTATTGGCGCCAAATTTACAACCAGAAATATACCTCATGGTGTTAATTGCCTTTTGGCATGATTCCTTTACATATTGAATATGTTTACTCCATGTGAGTTTGTGATCGATTATCATGCCTAAATACCTAACTTGTTTTTCAAATTTTAATTTGGTCTGGCCTAGGTATAGTTCTGGTAGTGTTCTACTTCTAGAGAAATACATTGCTACAGTTTTTTGTTTAGATGGTTTAAAACCCCACTTATTGGCCCACTCATTAATTGCTGTAAGATTTTTTTGGATATGTTTGGTTAGATATCTAATGTTTTTTCCTGTACTCCAGATACACCCATCATCTGCAAATTGCGCTAACTTGGTGTTGTTGTTTAGCGTATCTGACAGTGTGTTGATGTAAATATTAAAGAGTGTTGGAGAAATAACGCTGCCTTGTGCTACACCGTTGTCTAGTTCAAGTTGATCCGAAAGAGTGTTATGGATCCTAACTTGAATTTTACGGTTTTTAAGGAAACTGTTGACGAATTTGAAGATGTTACCAGTTATGCCGAATTTTTTTAGTGAGACCAGAAGTCCGTCATGCCAAATGAGATCATAAGCTTTTTCCAGATCTAAGAAGACAGCTAGAGTGTTTTGTTTGAGGTTAAAACCTTTTTTTTATCTCTGAAGTGAGTCGTAGTAGTGGGTCTAATGTCGATCTACCCTTACGGAATCCGCTCTGTTCCTCGTTTATGATACCTGATCTTTCTAATGAGTGTACTAGCCTATTGTTTACCATAGTTTCCATGACCTTACACAGGTGTGAGGTTAGAGCTATGGGCCTATATGATGCAGGTTCTTGTGGATTTTTACCTGGTTTTAGTATAGGTATAACAATGGCATTTTTCCAAGATTCAGGTATTATACCTGTGTCCCATATGTGGTTGTAAAAAAGGAGTATGATGTCTGTGATGTTGTCCGGACAGTGTTTGAGTATGTTGTATGAAATATTATCATCGCCCGGGGACGTGTTTCTCTTGTTCTGTAGTGCTTGTTTGTATTCTGTGATTGTGAATGGGCAGTTGAGATCACCGGTGTTAGGGCCTGGGTCTTTGATTTCATTATCAATGGTGACTTGATTGTGAACTTTATTTAGTTTGAATTCAGGGGTCAAATTATCATTACTACTAGCCTTTTGATATTGTTTAGCTAGAGTATCTGCCTTTTCCTTATCGGTAATGTTGTTCTTACCTAGTATAGGGATTTCTGATCTACTTATTCCCTGTATAGCTTTGACCTTTGACCAAACGTTTTTCAAATTAGTTTTGTTATTTAAAGATGTACAAAACTCTTGCCAATGATTGTTTTTGGCGTTTTGAATGATGTTATTGAAGTTTGTTTTGCATCTTGTGTACTCTGTTTTTAATAGTTCACTATTTTTATTTGCCCTCCATTTCCTTTCGCTATTCTTTTTGAGTTTTTTGGCTAACCTACACTCATCGTTCCACCATGGATTGTTTTTCCTCGTTTTGGGTTTGCCTGAGGTTTTAGGGATAGATGTTGACGCTATATCTAAAATAACCCTAGTTAAATTTGCATTAAAGACGTCAACATCTTGATCGAAAATTTCCTCATGTTGGATTGTTTCTGCTAAAATTTTGAATTGGTCCCAATTGGCCTTATTAAAAACCCATCGTGGTGTGTATTGAATTGTATTGACATGGGGTTTAAAATCAAACTGTGTCAAAATTGGGTAATGGTCGGAACCTAGAGTGCTATCGAGGGTGTTCCAGTAGCTACATTTACTAGCTAAGTTTGGAGATGCTAGGGTGATATCTAGATGGGATTCTATACCCCGTGCTACATCTATTCTAGTAGGGTTACCCTCATTTAGTATGGTTAGACCAGTCTCATCTGCCCATTTGTGTATTGTTTCTCCCCGGGAATTGTTTTTGTTACTTCCCCACAATGTATGATGTCCATTAAAATCCCCGGTTACAATGATGTTATCTGTGTCGATATTTTCTATCAGATTCACCAGGGAATTAAATGGAATTGGTTTTTTGGGGGAGAGGTATATATTGAGTATGACTGTTTTGTTTGTTTTGTTGTGTAGTTCTATTCCTAGAGCCACAATATCTTGGTCTTTGATTTCATACTCTTTGTATGCAATTCCGCATTTTATATATATTGCCAAACCTTGGTCCGAATCGTACCTAAATGGTGGATTGTAACCATTAATTTTGAAACTTTTGTGTTTAGGTTTAAGCATTGTTTCCTGAATACATAAAATATCGGGAGCATTTTCGTTCAGAAATGATTTTAATTCTGAAATTTTCGGCTTAAGGCCTCCTGCATTCCAATGCATGACAGTAAGGCCTGACTGGTCATTTAATATACCCGCGAAAGAAAATGGGTATTTATATTAAATTTATGTTGCTTGTGGCTCTAGTAAAGCTGTCGTTTGCTATTTCCAGGTCTCGGCTGATTGGCGGTGTGTTTTGCCCGTGATCTGGTGTTAGGGCGTGTCGGTGTTGTTTGTTTGTTTTTTGGTGTTGTTTTATTGTTTGTTTGTGTCCTACGTCTACCCAATCCAGTAGGAGAGCGAGGTGTGGGAGGTTTGGACAGAAACGAGTCGTCTAACTCTCCAGAACTATCCAGAAGGTGTATTGTTTGTTGTGTAGGAGTGTTTTTGGTTTGTGTGGTTGTTATTAAGGTTTGGGGTGTTGTTTGTGTTGAGAAAAGTGTAGGTGATGTTGTTGGTGTGGACTGTGTTGGTTTTGGCTGTGTTGGTGAGGTTTGTGTGGGTGTTGTTTGTGTCAGTTTATTTATGGGTGTGACTTGAGGTGCCGGGAACCCGTTTTGTTTGTTTATTAGGGCCCTGACTTTTTGTAGTGCTTGTCTGTCTGTGAGTGTTTGATCACGTGCTAACAGGACAATATTGCCGAGTAGCTCTGTGGTGACTAATACTCCGTGTTGTGTAGGTGTTATTTGTGAGTTAATGGTTGTAGTAGTGTTGGTGTGTTTGTTTGTGTTATTTTGCGGAGTGTTGTTTTGTACGACTGCCGAGTACAGTCGATTTGTTGTAGTTTTGTTGTAGGTGATTTGGGTTGTTGAGCACTGGGAATATTTTGGTTTTGTATGCTTTGTAGTAGGTTTTTGTTGTTTGCGTGGTACGTTGAATTTTGTTACTGGATATGTGATTTTGTTAAATTTGATTTCTTTAGGTAGAGTGTTTGAGTGAAATTCCAGTAGGATGGATGTAGTAGGTTGTTTGTCTTTGTTGTGCATCCTACTGGCTGTCTTGACATTGTTTATTTTGTTTAATGATGTTAATGACGTGTTGAGGGGGATCCGATAGATGACCCCCTTTGTTGTTGTGCGAGTCATTTTTTGTTTGCGTCTAGGTGGGGAGTTTGTATATGGCCGTTTAGATAGCCGTGTTGTACATGGTGTACCATCTATACATGCGATTTTCATCGCCTTTGTTATGCACATCGCTGTGGCGCAGAGAACTAATATGATACCTGATGGTAGCATCTTGACGTCCCTGACGTCACTGGTTACCCCTGTGTATTGGGATATGTCCCCGCGAACACGTCCCGCATGTAGTGGTTTTTTATCCCTAGGGGTCAGTATAACTACGGCGGGTTTGTTTGTGGTTGGGCCAGCCATGTTGTGTTTGTAGTTAGTTGACAGAGGGAAAAGGGTGAGAGGAATTCCTGTGGGGAGATCCTAATTAGTCTAGAATAAAAGGTCTGGTGTGTTACCTGGAGACGGAGCGACAGAGACCTTGATTGAGATAATATACATATCAAGCGTGAAAGTAGTGGTCTGGATAGCAGAGGTTGTGTAGTCAGGTGTGAAAGTGTGATATCTGGCCACGGAAAGACAATGGACAGGAACCAGATACAGTTTTTCTTTTGTTTTTGGGGTTGGGATGGCACTTTATAAGGCCGTCTTAAAAATGGTCCGAAATGAATAGCCCGATAAGAAAATAGATAAAATAAAGGTTATATGTATCAGAGATATATAAAATATGAAATATTTTCTACAGAATTATAACTCTACCTAATACTGTTTGGACCTTCCTATTGTATTTGATATATAGCTGAATCTAGTTATAACTATAGTATCACTATAAAACTCCTTAAACAAGGTATCTAAATAATAAATTATACAGACCAGGATACTATTTATTATCAGTTCCCGACGCTAAAATACGAGATAGCGACTAAATGATTAATAAGAAATCTTGAAAAGTACTTATCCTTCTGATGGATTTCTCGGGAACTCTGTTGTCTAATTAATCCTCGGTCTGCCGATAGAATTAACACATCAAAAAAAGAAAGAAAAAAAAAAAGTCCACAGGAATTACACAATATATTCCAGAAGAATATATGGAATATATATATATAGAAAAGACTGTTGGTGAATGATGTAACCTAACACTATATCGTTGATGACAGGTAACAAAGGTACTCTAAGCCTGTAGGTAGGTGTCGACAGCTCGGGGGTCAGTGGTATTTTCTGTATGCCTATGCCCCGCCCGTCCTCGCTCAGCCGTTTAAGCGCTTTTTGCTGCACCTCGCCGAGGACACCTAACGGCGCGTTAGCCTGTCTGTGTGGAAAACAAGTAATTTGTGTTTCCTTGGTGTGAATAAACGTTGTTTATAGCTCTAAATTATTGGAGAAAATTAGTGATATATACACCTATTTGCTAACGGATAGATAGGCAAACGAATGGTGTTTTCAAAATTTAAATCGGTTTCGTAATGAGTGAGCTACATGACATTTTCCTATAATTTTGTCAGTGCGGTTTCACTATTAGTTGAATAGAATTGTTCTAAATTCGTAATATATGCGTTATTTTCATAAACACACTATTTACTTAGTTTCTTAATATATACATGTTCATTGTATATATGGTAATAAATGGTATTTGTGAATAATTTAGATTTAGAATGGGTAAATATCATAGACATGGAAGCACATTTATCGAATTCCTGCTATACTTAATCTCAATCCATAGTCTCCACCATTTTCGATTCGATTATCGCATTTAATTGCTAACAAATATCACATTCTAAGTATGGAATATGTTTTTTGGGGGTTTTTTTCCCTCCCAATTCATACGTCATCGTATCCACATGTGTGTTGTGCTGTATTGTATGTGTGATCATATATATACGTGTACACATGTGTACTTGACTCGACTCTACGCAAACATGTATTAATTCTGTGTTGTCTAGATATCGAACTCGAAAATAAAGAAATGGTGTGTATGTATGGGGGTGTGTTTGTGGGTGTGGGTGTGCGCGCGCTAGTAACAGTCACAGGTGAGAGGGGAAAAAAGGAAAAAAAAAACACATGCACACACTCACACACAAAACAAAACAAAACCACACAAATAGGAGAATCGGATTTCATATTTTTAAAAAATAAAACTGCCGTGGTTGGAGCCCCCGGACTCAGCCTTTCGCAATAAATGTGTTTGGCTCACACATCCATTTTATACATTCTGGGTTAAATTTATACTTTAGAAATTTGAGTCAGAACAACTTTATATTCAGGATAATTCTCTATCGTATAGACGACGACGATACTTACCTTTGATCGTGCACTATACACATACGTACACAGGTATACACGACAACGTACCCACGTGCACGGACAGTGAAAACGACTCCTGCAACTGGGTAAACTGAAATATGTGGAAATTGGAATAATACCACCTGTTTCAACTATTTTGAAAAAAAAATGTATAGCGGAAATTGTCTCGATTTCAGAGTATGATTTTGAAGTGTTTTCACTAGTTTCCACATAAACATTACTATTATTTCATATATGAAATGATTGTTGGTTGAAAGTGGCAATTTTTAGCGTTAGTCGGTACACTACATTTGTGTATTTGAATTCAGATTGTACATGCGTAGTATTAAGAAATAAACCGATACCGTGTCAGCTTATAGGTGTATTAACTGTTGGTTTAACGTGTATATTATTGAAATTCATTCACCTAATCATAAATGGGCGGGGCCGGGCGTGAGTGTGTACTTGTCGGGTGGGAGACGGGGGACGGGGCGGCGACTTAGAAGTTGTAGCAGGTATCAATTGTTTATAACAAAAAAGTGTGTGATGTGAAGTAGTCCTGTGGGGTTGGGTGGGAAGGTGGATTTTCCTTTACTTTCGGGTAGGTGGGTGTATTTGGAGGGTGGGGGTGGGGAAGGGTGTTGTTGGTTTGTTCGTTGGTCAATTATAAGAAGTTAGGATTAGTGCGTTTTGCGTATTTTTCGAGGCGTAATTGGATGATTTTCGTGACATGTGGGTAGTCCTAAAAAGGACTGTTTACGTGTCGTTCGGACGGTGTAAGATATACATCTTATTTTTTTGCAGCCTTGGCTTTCTTAGGCTTGTCTGTCTTAGCTTTCTTCGGAGACTTGATAGCCTTTTTCTTAGGGGTCTTGGGCTTGGTAGTTTTCTTGGATGGTTTCTTCTCCGTGGTTTTCTTGGTAGCTGCTTTCTTGGGTGTCTTTGCCTTTGGTTTCTTAGCCGTCGCCGACGTAGTCGCTTTCTTCGCCGCCGGTTTCTTAGGTTTTGCTGCTTTCGGCTTAACCACTTTCTTAGCGGCTGGTTTTTTGGCGGGTTTAGGTTTCTCTCCGAGCTTGAATGATCCAGCAGCTCCGGTTCCTTTCGACTGTTTCAGGGCTCCTTTCTTCACGCCGTTCCGGAGGGCGATCTTCAGGTGTGCGTTGATAGCCTTAGCGTCGGATCCCACTTTGAAGTTAGCCATGATGTATTTCAGTATTGCCTGACGGGACGAGCCTCCACGTTCCTTCAGACTTCCCACTGCAGTGGCCACCATGTCGCTGTACTTTGGATGAGCTGCCGGGGTCTTTGGCTTCTTCACTGCTTTCTTCACTGGAGTCTTCTCTGCCATCTTCGGATTCGTCTGGATGTGATTGTTCGAGAACTGCGCTAGTCAGTGCTAGGTAAGCTGTATGCCCCGCCCGTCCTCGCTCAGCCGTTTAAGCGCTTTTTGCTGCACCTCGCCGAGGACACCTAACGGCGCGTTAGCCTGTCTGTGTGGAAAACAAGTAATTTGTGTTTCCTTGGTGTGAATAAACGTTGTTTATAGCTCTAAATTATTGGAGAAAATTAGTGATATATACACCTATTTGCTAACGGATAGATAGGCAAACGAATGGTGTTTTCAAAATTTAAATCGGTTTCGTAATGAGTGAGCTACATGACATTTTCCTATAATTTTGTCAGTGCGGTTTCACTATTAGTTGAATAGAATTGTTCTAAATTCGTAATATATGCGTTATTTTCATAAACACACTATTTACTTAGTTTCTTAATATATACATGTTCATTGTATATATGGTAATAAATGGTATTTGTGAATAATTTAGATTTAGAATGGGTAAATATCATAGACATGGAAGCACATTTATCGAATTCCTGCTATACTTAATCTCAATCCATAGTCTCCACCATTTTCGATTCGATTATCGCATTTAATTGCTAACAAATATCACATTCTAAGTATGGAATATGTTTTTTGGGGGTTTTTTTCCCTCCCAATTCATACGTCATCGTATCCACATGTGTGTTGTGCTGTATTGTATGTGTGATCATATATATACGTGTACACATGTGTACTTGACTCGACTCTACGCAAACATGTATTAATTCTGTGTTGTCTAGATATCGAACTCGAAAATAAAGAAATGGTGTGTATGTATGGGGGTGTGTTTGTGGGTGTGGGTGTGCGCGCGCTAGTAACAGTCACAGGTGAGAGGGGAAAAAAGGAAAAAAAAAACACATGCACACACTCACACACAAAACAAAACAAAACCACACAAATAGGAGAATCGGATTTCATATTTTTAAAAAATAAAACTGCCGTGGTTGGAGCCCCCGGACTCAGCCTTTCGCAATAAATGTGTTTGGCTCACACATCCATTTTATACATTCTGGGTTAAATTTATACTTTAGAAATTTGAGTCAGAACAACTTTATATTCAGGATAATTCTCTATCGTATAGACGACGACGATACTTACCTTTGATCGTGCACTATACACATACGTACACAGGTATACACGACAACGTACCCACGTGCACGGACAGTGAAAACGACTCCTGCAACTGGGTAAACTGAAATATGTGGAAATTGGAATAATACCACCTGTTTCAACTATTTTGAAAAAAAAATGTATAGCGGAAATTGTCTCGATTTCAGAGTATGATTTTGAAGTGTTTTCACTAGTTTCCACATAAACATTACTATTATTTCATATATGAAATGATTGTTGGTTGAAAGTGGCAATTTTTAGCGTTAGTCGGTACACTACATTTGTGTATTTGAATTCAGATTGTACATGCGTAGTATTAAGAAATAAACCGATACCGTGTCAGCTTATAGGTGTATTAACTGTTGGTTTAACGTGTATATTATTGAAATTCATTCACCTAATCATAAATGGGCGGGGCCGGGCGTGAGTGTGTACTTGTCGGGTGGGAGACGGGGGACGGGGCGGCGACTTAGAAGTTGTAGCAGGTATCAATTGTTTATAACAAAAAAGTGTGTGATGTGAAGTAGTCCTGTGGGGTTGGGTGGGAAGGTGGATTTTCCTTTACTTTCGGGTAGGTGGGTGTATTTGGAGGGTGGGGGTGGGGAAGGGTGTTGTTGGTTTGTTCGTTGGTCAATTATAAGAAGTTAGGATTAGTGCGTTTTGCGTATTTTTCGAGGCGTAATTGGATGATTTTCGTGACATGTGGGTAGTCCTAAAAAGGACTGTTTACGTGTCGTTCGGACGGTGTAAGATATACATCTTATTTTTTTGCAGCCTTGGCTTTCTTAGGCTTGTCTGTCTTAGCTTTCTTCGGAGACTTGATAGCCTTTTTCTTAGGGGTCTTGGGCTTGGTAGTTTTCTTGGATGGTTTCTTCTCCGTGGTTTTCTTGGTAGCTGCTTTCTTGGGTGTCTTTGCCTTTGGTTTCTTAGCCGTCGCCGACGTAGTCGCTTTCTTCGCCGCCGGTTTCTTAGGTTTTGCTGCTTTCGGCTTAACCACTTTCTTAGCGGCTGGTTTTTTGGCGGGTTTAGGTTTCTCTCCGAGCTTGAATGATCCAGCAGCTCCGGTTCCTTTCGACTGTTTCAGGGCTCCTTTCTTCACGCCGTTCCGGAGGGCGATCTTCAGGTGTGCGTTGATAGCCTTAGCGTCGGATCCCACTTTGAAGTTAGCCATGATGTATTTCAGTATTGCCTGACGGGACGAGCCTCCACGTTCCTTCAGACTTCCCACTGCAGTGGCCACCATGTCGCTGTACTTTGGATGAGCTGCCGGGGTCTTTGGCTTCTTCACTGCTTTCTTCACTGGAGTCTTCTCTGCCATCTTCGGATTCGTCTGGATGTGATTGTTCGAGAACTGCGCTAGTCAGTGCTAGGTAAGCTGTATGCCCCGCCCGTCCTCGCTCAGCCGTTTAAGCGCTTTTTGCTGCACCTCGCCGAGGACACCTAACGGCGCGTTAGCCTGTCTGTGTGGAAAACAAGTAATTTGTGTTTCCTTGGTGTGAATAAACGTTGTTTATAGCTCTAAATTATTGGAGAAAATTAGTGATATATACACCTATTTGCTAACGGATAGATAGGCAAACGAATGGTGTTTTCAAAATTTAAATCGGTTTCGTAATGAGTGAGCTACATGACATTTTCCTATAATTTTGTCAGTGCGGTTTCACTATTAGTTGAATAGAATTGTTCTAAATTCGTAATATATGCGTTATTTTCATAAACACACTATTTACTTAGTTTCTTAATATATACATGTTCATTGTATATATGGTAATAAATGGTATTTGTGAATAATTTAGATTTAGAATGGGTAAATATCATAGACATGGAAGCACATTTATCGAATTCCTGCTATACTTAATCTCAATCCATAGTCTCCACCATTTTCGATTCGATTATCGCATTTAATTGCTAACAAATATCACATTCTAAGTATGGAATATGTTTTTTGGGGGTTTTTTTCCCTCCCAATTCATACGTCATCGTATCCACATGTGTGTTGTGCTGTATTGTATGTGTGATCATATATATACGTGTACACATGTGTACTTGACTCGACTCTACGCAAACATGTATTAATTCTGTGTTGTCTAGATATCGAACTCGAAAATAAAGAAATGGTGTGTATGTATGGGGGTGTGTTTGTGGGTGTGGGTGTGCGCGCGCTAGTAACAGTCACAGGTGAGAGGGGAAAAAAGGAAAAAAAAAACACATGCACACACTCACACACAAAACAAAACAAAACCACACAAATAGGAGAATCGGATTTCATATTTTTAAAAAATAAAACTGCCGTGGTTGGAGCCCCCGGACTCAGCCTTTCGCAATAAATGTGTTTGGCTCACACATCCATTTTATACATTCTGGGTTAAATTTATACTTTAGAAATTTGAGTCAGAACAACTTTATATTCAGGATAATTCTCTATCGTATAGACGACGACGATACTTACCTTTGATCGTGCACTATACACATACGTACACAGGTATACACGACAACGTACCCACGTGCACGGACAGTGAAAACGACTCCTGCAACTGGGTAAACTGAAATATGTGGAAATTGGAATAATACCACCTGTTTCAACTATTTTGAAAAAAAAATGTATAGCGGAAATTGTCTCGATTTCAGAGTATGATTTTGAAGTGTTTTCACTAGTTTCCACATAAACATTACTATTATTTCATATATGAAATGATTGTTGGTTGAAAGTGGCAATTTTTAGCGTTAGTCGGTACACTACATTTGTGTATTTGAATTCAGATTGTACATGCGTAGTATTAAGAAATAAACCGATACCGTGTCAGCTTATAGGTGTATTAACTGTTGGTTTAACGTGTATATTATTGAAATTCATTCACCTAATCATAAATGGGCGGGGCCGGGCGTGAGTGTGTACTTGTCGGGTGGGAGACGGGGGACGGGGCGGCGACTTAGAAGTTGTAGCAGGTATCAATTGTTTATAACAAAAAAGTGTGTGATGTGAAGTAGTCCTGTGGGGTTGGGTGGGAAGGTGGATTTTCCTTTACTTTCGGGTAGGTGGGTGTATTTGGAGGGTGGGGGTGGGGAAGGGTGTTGTTGGTTTGTTCGTTGGTCAATTATAAGAAGTTAGGATTAGTGCGTTTTGCGTATTTTTCGAGGCGTAATTGGATGATTTTCGTGACATGTGGGTAGTCCTAAAAAGGACTGTTTACGTGTCGTTCGGACGGTGTAAGATATACATCTTATTTTTTTGCAGCCTTGGCTTTCTTAGGCTTGTCTGTCTTAGCTTTCTTCGGAGACTTGATAGCCTTTTTCTTAGGGGTCTTGGGCTTGGTAGTTTTCTTGGATGGTTTCTTCTCCGTGGTTTTCTTGGTAGCTGCTTTCTTGGGTGTCTTTGCCTTTGGTTTCTTAGCCGTCGCCGACGTAGTCGCTTTCTTCGCCGCCGGTTTCTTAGGTTTTGCTGCTTTCGGCTTAACCACTTTCTTAGCGGCTGGTTTTTTGGCGGGTTTAGGTTTCTCTCCGAGCTTGAATGATCCAGCAGCTCCGGTTCCTTTCGACTGTTTCAGGGCTCCTTTCTTCACGCCGTTCCGGAGGGCGATCTTCAGGTGTGCGTTGATAGCCTTAGCGTCGGATCCCACTTTGAAGTTAGCCATGATGTATTTCAGTATTGCCTGACGGGACGAGCCTCCACGTTCCTTCAGACTTCCCACTGCAGTGGCCACCATGTCGCTGTACTTTGGATGAGCTGCCGGGGTCTTTGGCTTCTTCACTGCTTTCTTCACTGGAGTCTTCTCTGCCATCTTCGGATTCGTCTGGATGTGATTGTTCGAGAACTGCGCTAGTCAGTGCTAGGTAAGCTGTATGCC